GGATGGTGCTCTTACATGTGCATTCGTTGGCACCTGATAGTTCAACCAAAAGGACCAGCTGCACAGGAACTAATAAGCGTCTGGACGCTCGTTGAAAAGGCTTGAAAACTTGAAGGAGATAAATGGTTCAAAAATTTCTTATCATCATCACTAGGTGCATTTACATTATGACAGTGTTCAAGCTACCTTGTAGAAGTCCACAAATCAGAAATCCGGAAACGACGTTTTAAGAAATAAATCTTTTAGACAGTGTTAAAGCTGCAAAAATAACCATGGCAGTATTCAGGAGATCAGTTGGCGAGCATCAGTTTGCTTTCGATAAATCCTCGTCAGGCCAGTACATGCCAGGGATTAGAAAAATCCATTCAAGTTCGTCGTAAAACACCGGCAGGAAGTGGGAATATAGAACGGGAGGTGGGAGGTAATAACAGTCAATGTCAGGGTTGGGATGAGCTCGGAAGCGCGCAGAGAGGTGCATGGTTAGTCGACTTTGACCACGATAGTCGCGGGGCCTGAACGTGGTTCATCTGCGCACACAAGATCGGTTTTCGTAACCTGGTAGGGACCCCTTCTGCTGTTGCTAACAGGCGCTGGCCAATTAGCTTGGGGCAGCTCGATGGGACTTTATAAATCACACAAAAAGCTTCGCTGGGGTCCACATGATGTCCGGAATCAACAACATGCGCGAAAACAGCGCTGCTTATGCGCCTAGTTTGGCCTTTTTCCAGCCATGTCAGGGGGTTTTCTCGTATTCTCTTGGATAGGCGCCGACTGGTACGGCCAATATAACCTGCTCCAAGCAGCAAGTAAAGGGGTAGATGCACATCGATGTGGTCTGAGGTGGTAACCTATCCTCACCTTCTCCACGTAAAATAGGGTTAGCAGAGAATGATATTCGAACCCCTGCTTCCGGGAAAATTCGCGATACAGCTTGATCAAGGCGTCTTCTTGGGAGTTTTTGGCGGCCAGCAATCCTGACCGGTCTGGCGTCATTGTTCATGACCTCGCTGCCTCAAGGTCATTCACCCCTTGTAGCGAGCCGTTCCAGACGCGCTGACCTGAATCCGCTCGAACCGACTCCAGCTCGGACACAATTGCGTCCACACAACGTCGCAGCTACCCATGCGCCACTTGAACGCGCCATCCCGTGCAACCAGCAAAACAAGTCACTGGGACACTACCCCTCGGCAAATGCAACAAACACTGATTGGACACCACTTGAGCTTGGCCCACGAGCCTACAAAAGCGCTGCCACCACTGTCCCCAGGATTCTCAGGCATGACTGGGCGCAGTCAAAAACAGCCCTGGCTTCGCCAGTGGCCACTGCCGCCTGAGAGGACAACTCTGGGTTTTGTACACAATAAACTCATTCTGGTTCCCTCCGTCTTCTCCTTCCAATCTAGGATTTGCCCTGATAATGGTAGCGCTCAGAAAACTTAATCTGGCCACCTAGCTGCCAAACGTTCACTTGCAGAGTATCCTTGAAAGGGGACATTGAAGAACAAAGTTTTCTTTTCAACAGTCAGTGTGGTGGGTTTTGCCGGTCGTTCGGAAACGTTCTTTACAATGAACCTGTCGGAATACCCTTTTGCGCGAAGCAAGTCACCTATTTTCCTGAGCTTCTCCTGGATGCAGAACACATTTTGCTAGCTCTTTATGCCAAACACCGGGCCAGATTTTTTTGTTGTTGGAGGGACACGAAACTATCGAAGTTCGTGTATTGTCCAGACCAGGTTTTCTTCCGATAGACGCTCCTTCGGACGCCACCGTTAGGTCTCCTGTTTAGAAGGACATCTAGAAAAGGAAGCGAACCAGCCGTTTCCATCTCCAACGTAAACTTGACAATCGGATGTGTCTGATTTACCGCATTTATGTGTACAGCTATGGGCAAGCGTCTTGGACCTCTACTGGCCGATGTCTTAATGGGCAACCTGGAGAGATTTCAACTAAGCGATCAGATCAATAAACTTGAACATTTTTGTCCCTACGCTGATGATATATTTGCAGTCGTCACCACAGAAACCGACGTGGAAATAGATATTTCATGATAAATTTCCTGGAAAATCTATTTTTTGACAGCGTTTTGTATTAAGACGGGTTTATTCACCTAGGTATTTGCAGACCATGTTGTCCTGACCGAGATTTTTATGCAGCTGTGTTCAGAAATATCTGGAAACCAACTGCTATTAAACATCTATTTGTTTCTGGATTAGCATAGCGAAGTTTCATGCCGAGCGATTGTGCGTTTATCGACGATTTGTCAAGGGCCATCTTTGTGAAGTGGTGGAGTACGGTTTCGCAGCAATTCAAGAAGTAGCCCATACTTCCTCCTGGTTGAGACTATAGAGATTTTTCTTTTATTTGATTATGGCCTGCCTGGTAGTCGCCATTTCGACAGAGCTACTATATTTTTGTCGCTCGCCAGTCGTTCCTCAATTACGCAGATTTATTTAGTATAAAGTACGGTGCCTCTCCTTGATTTTAACAGCAATGCTTACTTATCTTTTCCTGGCATGTCTGTCTTTCTCAGTGTCCTACAATACTACTGAGGATATTTACTACTTTTGTTCAGTCTAGGATAAACTTCTGAGCTACATGCGCTTCTTTGGGATGATTTTCGTGGCATTTATAACCACTGAATGACTTCAAGGTTAAGCGGTACTTAGATATCTACTTTCTGCGATACAATTCAAGTAAACATTGAAGAATTTAAAGTCGCAAGTGCAAGCTTTTGGTTGCTTATTATCAGATCTGCACAGTAATATACATATGTACTTACTACTTGGATTTTATTCACAAGTATGAATGTGACAGAGGCGACGGTGTCACGCGCCTTCTCTAGCAGAAGCAGAACGTATTGTCGAAGTATACTTGGGATACGCTTTTTTAAGTCGCCGGATGGGTGAATAAGGAAAGGGAGGGACTCCAAATGAATACAACCGGAACAGGTCCGCTCGGCGCGACCAAACCATTGTATTTTCATAAGTAAGAAATAAAAAGACAGGTCGAGCACCGGAACATTCTGTTTGTTTGTCTGATATATTAAGCTCGGACAGGAATCCGTTGTCAGAGATAAAAGCGGCAACAGAACAGACGATAGTTTTAGGGGGCGTTTGCCAATCAGCGATCAGTGACGCAGGCATGGACGTGGCCGCGAAAGGCTCTGCGTGCCAGCTCCATATAGACAAATCGACTGATTGAATTCTAGTCCGAGACCCAGGTTTCAGTTAGTTCTTGGCCTGTCTTTTTTCCGGCGTGGGCGATTATGATGGTGACTGTGAAGTTAAACCCATGACCTGTTTCGAAATTGTGGGCAACCACTCGTGATAATTCGCCACCCCGTCGCACAGTCAGCTTATGTTAGAGCATGTGTGATCCGAGCACTCGTTCAGTCTGACTCGCATAATTACAAGGACAGATAGGCACGAGCTACAACACATTACACCTGACCGGCCACCGGATTAAACGGTCTTTACGACACATGACCTTGTTGCCAATGATAGCGTGGTGATCACGGATGGGAGATCAACTGTGACCGCACACAATAAACTTGTCCCATCTAATGTCATAAGCGAAGGTGCTGTGAGACCCAGTTTATCCTTCACACAGGGCAGGCTGCTATGAGTTGGCTGCCTGCTTGTGGATAAGAAGTTCAGGAGAACGTAAGATGCGGTGTCACATGTCCATGTCTGCACGAGGGAATGTCGAGCCAAGTGTTGAACATGTAATTGGTTGACGACTGTTTAGTTACCCAGCCTCGAGGGATGACGGTCCAGGCAAATAAAGGGCCACCTGAACCTAAAGGTCGTAGGCGTCTGTTATGGCAGAATCAGCAAACCATGGCCCCCGCAGCCTGGTACGCGCTGGCGGTTCACTGACACCTAGTTCCCTGCCGGTAGATGCCATTCCCCTCCTGATGGTCAAGGTCGTGAGCATGGCTGCCCACTTATCTACCTTCTTCGGACCCCTTCGGGGTGTATGTTTTTGACTAAAATCCTGTTCATTTGTTGTGTGGACTAGGGGGTGTGGAATGGAGCGCCAGGGGCGGGCTCGGACGCGCCATCCATCTGCGACCCCCCCCGCCTCCGGTCTTCTTGGCTTTGTCATGACGCCGGGCCCAGGTGGGAGAGGAGGAGGAGGGGTGCGCTAGGTGCGGCGCAGGTCTACATTCACTATAAACTAAATAACGCGCAAGTCGGATAGATCGCAGTCGGTAGCCAGGCCCCGTATTACAGGTGGGGAGGGGGGGGGAGTTGTTTACTCGGACTATTTTGTGGGACTCCATAAACACATCTGACCCCTTTGGCTTCCGTTTTACGTTTGAGGTTAGGATTAGGGTACCGGTTAATGGTTTTCGATTTTCGGGCTAGGTTTAGGGTTATGCCTTTAGGCTTAGGTTTATGGGTTACGGTTAGGGTTTGAGCGTACGAATAGGTTTCCGTATTATTGCTAGGTATTTCAGTTACGGCTATGTATAAGGGTTACGGTTACGTTTATGATTTCGGTAAGGGTTGGGATTAGGGTTGCCGTTAGGGTTAATGGTTAGCGTTTAAGAGTGAGGTTAGGGTAAGGTTTAAGGTCGCGGTCCGCTTCCCCATTCCCGGCTACCAACTGCGATCTAACCCCCAAGTCACCGCGCCTGCTTCACCTTGCTGTGAAGCGCACGGTGGGCAGCGTCGGCAACGACGGCCGAACTGTCAGAAGTTTGTTTGGGGTTAGAGTCGGGGGACATGATAACAAGTGCGCGCGGATAACGAGCCACTCTGTCCGACGCGCGTGAGGCGGCAAAAGTTCGTGTGCGCAGCCATGACTCATTGCAGCTGAACGATAGACGCCCCAGCTCGGGCCTGAGGAGTGACCGTGCGTCAGCGTGTGTCTGTAGGTTGGCGCGGTTATCACGGTCATTAGCTGACAGAGAAACGCCGTGAGAGAGGGCACTGGATCTGCTGCTACTTTCCTCCCCCCACTCAGACACCAAACGAAGTGAGGGGGTCGATATGCTAGCCAGCCACAAATCTGTCAGGCCAGTGAACATGACGCCCGGATCTTGTGCGGCGAAGCAGAGGTGGGTTGTCGCCAGTAGGTGGCGGAGATGTCGCCGTCTGCGACTGGGTCCGCTGTTGGGGTGAGATCATTTCACCCTCTTCGGCGTAGGCCGGTTTGACAGGATCAGTGCTGATGATGTCAGTCTTGTCGTTATGACTGATGACAATATCCTCGTCAGATCGTCGAAGGACTTTGTACGGCACGTCATAGGGGAGTTTTGGTGGCTGACGGATAGGGTCATGCTGGACCAGGACGAAATCGCACCTGTATAGGTCGGGAGGGATGAACGAAAGTGCGGGTGACGCCCGAAGTGGCGCTGCGCGGAGATAACGCATTGCACTCCGTAGTCAGCCCGCACCATTTCTATTCGGAATAAATTGTCCAGGAATGTGAAGATTCTGCAAAACTATTCGATTTTGTATCTCGAAAAACCCACAAATTTTGGATTCTGGGTCAACCGATCGAATATACCGTAGTGATGGCGTTCGTGGTCTCTGGTCCCCATAGCTGGTCTCACCAGAGACAATTTCCTCAGTCAACAGCGACAACCGTTCTTCAGTGATTCTGCTTGGTCCAGTCCCGATTTCATGAAATAAATGGCGACTGAAAATATCCGATGCTGTGATACCCATCTCTTTCTTGACTGTCCTCATTTCATGGGCTGCAGTTTTTTTCTCGCGAACCTTCCAAACTATACAAAAACACCATCCTCTTTACTTAGCCATCAGGAGTTTTTTCACTGCTGGCCCGATTTGTGCTTAATGTTTCCCTGACAATGCCTGTACACTGACATTAAGTGCAATTGTCATTATTATTATTATTATGATTGGAAATCTAAGGCCCAAAAATCTCAACGCATTTGAAGGAGAGACTAATTCAGCAGGCAGTCGTAGGGTAGCTCCGGATACAAGATCACCTGAAGTGCAACCGATGTCGGCCTTGAGAGTGGAACGGATGAACAGCATCACCAGAGTAAGACCATCGGAACGTCGTAAAGGATCTGACTGGGCAAGTAGGGCCGTCTTGAGCTGTCGATGGAAACGTTAGAGGAGGCCATTTGCCAGGGGGTGGTACGCCGTCGTTTGAATCCGGTTGGTGTCGTGAAGGGAAGTGTGCTTGCGAAACGACGTGGACTTGAATTGGGGTCCGCAGTCGCAGGAGCCCCAGAATCGTACATCCAGTACGCCAGAAAATTCTCCGCCATGGTTTCAGCATTGGTATCCGGAATGGGTACAGCAACCAACCCCCGAGTGAAATGGTCAATCCAAGTCAGTAGGTAGACAAAACCGCTCAGATCGATGTGTACGTGACTGAAACGTGCATCAGAGATGGCGAAGGTTCATTCTACAATAACAATATGTCGGCGGATTTTGGCGCGTTGGCATGAGCGACAATATTGGGTCCAACGTCCTACATCCCGGTTTATATTGGGCCAGGCGAATCGGTCAGTGATGAGTTTCACTGTCGCCCATACTCCAGGGTGAGATAGGTTGTGAGGGACATTGAAAACTTGTCGTCGCAAAGTTAATGGGGCAAAGGGACGTTTATGTCCGGTGGAAAGGCCACAAGTGATGGTGCCAGCTCCAGTAGGAAGAGAGCCATCTTGAAGAAGGGGAGAAGAGTCGTTGTAACGATACTGAGATAGTTCGTCATCTGATTGATGAGCGTTAGCCATGAGCGTGAAATCGATGACATGTGTCGTGACGGGGTTCATCTCAATTCCTGATGGAGCATCGGTAACCACGTATTTCTTGCCGTGTATATGTTTATTGTCACAGGCAAACTGTGAAATGAAGTCTAGATGGCGAACCTCTCGGAACAAATGTCGGTTTGGAGTAGTCTTTAGAGCAAACACTAAGGGCTTGTGGACCGTAGACACGGCGAGTTCGCAGCCCTCAAGAAAGTGTCGGAAATGCCGGATGCCTAGGTATATAGCGAGAAGTTCTTGTCCACCAACACTGTAGCGGGACTCTGCTGAGCTTAGTTTCTTTGATAAGAAAGCGACAGGCTGTGGAACGTCATCAACAGTTTGCTGGAGAGATGCACCAACGACAGTGCTGGATGCATCTCTAATGTGAGTTGGCTGGGCAGCTGAGCGAGGGTGGGCAAGCAGAGTTTCATTTGCAAAAGCGACGTTGACATCACTGAGGGATTTGACGGCTTCCCATCAGCGGTTGTCGCTGTCATTGACGGACGAAAATACGTCGTGAACCGAGGCAGTAGATCGACTACTACAATAAACTTGGCCGGCAGGCTTTTTAAACACCTAGTCTGGCATCAATGCGCACGTATGGCGGAGCATTCCATATAATTGATGGTGATTCCGACGGGGTCCTCCGAGTTCGAACACATATTCGTCGGCCTTTAAATAGGCGTTGCTCATGTTTTTCTTGCCGGGCTGCTGCAGTGAATCTGGGTCCGTTTAAAGAGTGTTCTCACATAGCCTCCTTTGTAGGTCCCCGGATAATTGCTGCGAAAACAGAACAGTCACTTAGAACTGGCTGCCTTCCTATGGACGGCTGGCTCTATTTCGCGTCAGGACCTGCCTGACGGGCACATCAATGAAGGGCAACTGCTGCTCCTTTTCTTTTTTCTTCGTGAGCTGTACTTTCAAAAAAGATTATGGAAATTCTGCAGCAAGTTCTCCTTGACGATAACATAGATGTCGTCAGCGTAACCACCCCAAAAGATCGACTTATGCTGGATTAAATCAGTCCCTTGAGCTCACGTAGGACCAGTTTTGTCGCAAAGGGTAGTAGGACTTGTGGTAAACTTCGAACAGCTTCATGAGATGCCCGACTTTGGGCGGGTCTCTGAGTTTCGTCCTGTCCCACCTAGTTATGAGAGCATGGGAGAGTCAATTATTGAAAATATTGTGTTACGAGAAGAAGCGATTTTCGAAGAAACAAAAAGCTTGAAGGAGTATAAATCTCCGGATCCGGACGAGATCCCAGCAAAGCTGCGCTTTGAACTTACCTGAGGGTTGGCTAAACCGCTATCCTTTCTCTCCCAGAAATCGTTTGCTGCTAGGATCCTTCCCACGGACTTGAAAACAGCTAAGACTACACCACTTTACAAAGGCGGTCTTCGTGCACTTGCGACGAACTACATACCCGTCAGTCTGAGATCAGTCTATTACAGTCATGGAGATGACCATCAAAAAGAATTTGATGGCTTATTTGCGAAACCGAAACCCCTTGTCCAGTGCACAGCACTGTCTTCGTACGGGAAGGTCGTGTGTAAGGAACTTGCTATACACAGTACAAAGCCGGACAAGAGCACTCGATGAATACCACACTGGACATGTAGCCTATATTGATTTCCGGAAGGCGCACGACAGTGCTCCGCACCAGCGTCTCCTTTGCTGTTTGATAGTGATGGGTATCAGAGGCGAATTTCATAAATGTATCGAGAATTTCCTTGTCGGTCGTTCCCGAATTGTCTTTGCGGAGCATCAGCAATCAACGCGTGCTGTCATAGGCAGTGGAGTACCACAAGGCCCAGTGCTTGAACTGAACCTCTTTCTCTTGTTCCTTAATGAACATAGACTGCGATTGTGCCATGTTTATAAATGATATAAAAATCTGGAAAGTCGTCCAAAATGCTGCTGACGAGAGCAACTTATCCAACCTGGGGAATTCACAGGGAAGTGGGAGGTCGGTTGGACTGAGGTTGTCTAAACTTCTTAGAGAAACTTCAGGTTCGAGTACATCCACTTTGTCAAATAACAGGTGAGGAGTTCGATTAACCGCAATGAATCATTTGGTTTGAAGATCCTTGGCAGACCACGGAAATGGGCCAAATCAATGTCCATTGATCTATTTTGGAGTCATTCACCCGCTGTGGGTCGTTTTACGTTATCTGGATTAAGATACTTCTCATTTCCTCTGATTGTTCGTCAATCAGACTTTACTCCTCGAACTTTTAACAAAGTCATCACGATTTCCAGTTAGTGTATTCTCTAAAAATTTTTGTTGTCAGCCTAGACAAAAATATGGCGCGTTCGCCAAAAGATACCGATATTTTCCTTATATCATGGATTAATACCTTCTTTTATTTACTTGCTTGAAAGCAATTTTTCATACTGGCTTGCATAACTACCAATTCGGCCTCGCCTGTGTTGGGATTATGACTTGTCGCCGGCAGCTGCCGTCAACCGGCGATAGGCTATCAAACAAAATGAATGACTAATCACGTCAATAACGAGGTCTTTCGACTGGGAAACAATGAAAATGTTCTACGTCGACTTCATTTATCAACTTTCAACCGTTATTTGTATACTACTGACCGCCTGTGAACAGAATATGAAAATTATGCGGTTGTTGTGCTAAAACGGGCGGATCCCAACTCATATTTGGGCCGGGCATGAGAAGTTTTATCTCGAGGGATTTACTTCAAGTTCGCACATTAATATCTGAGGAAAATGAAAAGCATTACGTGGTACCTGTGTCAAATTCAACTGATTTTTTTATTGTTCTTGCCAGTCGCAGATAAGAAGCAGCAGCAAAGCCAGTCAACGCAAAATAGTATGTCCATTATCGATTTAGTAAGTTTGACTTTGAACCCGCATCTTGAATTCTAAGTAGTCCAGCTGTGCTTCCCAAAAACAATTTGCACACCGATTTCTGGCCTTTCAAAGCGGACATAGTTCGAATTCATTGATCGGTTTTATAAAGAGTCTAACGACAGTCAGGTCGAAAAAAATAAATGAACGGTATCAGAATCAGAAAAGGAGAAATGCCGTTCTGACTTTTAGTTGTGAGCGGCGGCTTCCCTGCAAATCCTAACGCGAGGGAACAGAGTCGGACTGCCAAATCACGTCAACTAGTTAGTGTGTAATTATTTCGATATTCATGCATATCTTACCTACTACAGTAATGATTGTCGTGTTGGAAAACATCAGCGAAACAGGGGTTTTATTGTGCAGTTGATAAATCGTTTAACCTCCCGTCGTGAGCCTGTGCAGTATTTTTAGACGTATAGCTTTGACCTCGCTCTGCAGGTTATGATATGGTCATGGGTAATTAGAGGCGACATTGAATAGGGCCGAAATACCTGTTTAAACATCTTTCAACTTTGTCCGCCCAACCGGATAAATTTCCCCTTACGCGATCTGTTATCGGATATAACGTGCAGACAGGAAATTTGAAGTTCCAAAGAAGATAAAATGATCTCAGGTGCGAAAACATCATTTTAACATGATCTTAAAACTCTAAAAAGGAATGGAAAAGTGGGGTGTGAAAGCGCCGCTGTTGTAGCGCTTTTTGGTCAAGTGTGGTATGGCAGCTCCACCTGAATTAAACAAACCCCAGCCACCTGTAATATGGGAGCGATGGATATAAGGCTTTTTATAGGTGGGACCGGGGAACGCACAGGTGACGAAGTCAAGTAGTTCTTTGCGAAAGAAAAGCTATTGGGAATGTGCGGCTGTAATTTGGGTGGTTGAGAAAAGGTTGTGCTAACCCATAACCCCAATCTTAACCCGAACCTTATCCTTAATCTTGACCCAAACTCCAGCCCCGACAGCATTGTGCCCAGAAGGTGGGGCTACATAACCACACCTTACCCGCTTTTTCAGAAAGGGCTAATGTTATGACTGATCTTTACCATGAGGTGGTTTAAATGTCTTCATTTTAGAGCTGCAATGGGAGCTGAAAATTTTTGTTCATCATTCCACATTCGGGATACATCGATTGCCGTAACTCGCATATAACCTTGTAGTTCCGATCAAAAACGATAAGGCGGGGAGCCCTGACCCGCTAATAAATAATTTCATTTGCTACAACATTATAAAATGGATTGACTTTGACACTGAATCCCTTTGAAAATAAGTCAAATTGATTAATTCTATAGTAGGTGACCTAACTCACGAAATGCGTCGAAATCTACGAATGATCGCTAATTACTCGCAAACCGACACCATTTCATGTCTCTAGTGTCTATGTTAATAACGTACAAGTTTAAAAGAATTAGAAACATAAAAGAAATATTAAAGTCAGTGTTGCATTGTTAAGTTATGTCGATTTATTTTGAAAAGCGCAATATCCCGAAAACGTCAGAAATGGCTTTAATTAAGTAAAGTTAGTTTTCAGATGTATAGAATGTATCGTCATACCAAAAACGTCGAAAAAATGAAAATCGGCATAAAATAACGTCTAATAACCGTGCTTTAGTAAATTTTACATCTAAATGTCGTTTAATTGT